TGAAACGGAGCTGCTGTGCGCGAGCAAATAGGTAGCCTATTTCTGATACATGCAATGACTATACATTATGATGTAGGCATTTTTGTATTTATGTAGCCTACACAATAATAATCTTTTACATTGTAATCCTTAAATTTTTAATATTTGGCATGTTTGTGTACTGCTGCGCGTCCCTGTGTGTGTAATAAGCAGAATGTACACGCGTTGTGGACCCGCCTATAGGTGCATATTACTAACGTGCTCTTTAAATAACAAAAAATACTGCACCATTGACTTTATACCAGGTTTTAGTTGGTCAATGGTGCAGTCTATTTCACTTGCCTCAAAATAGCAACGCGCCAACAATGCGCCTGAACACACCTCGTTTTAAGACCAGCACGCCCATGGGCGCACAAACCATGCAAACCATCCTTCTAAAGGGTCATATGACGTTGCTAAAAAGAACATAATTTTTTGTATTTGATGTAATGCAATGTATTTACACAGTTTAAGGTTCAAAAAACATATTATTTTCCACATACCGTACTTTACATTATTGTTGCTCTTCTCTGCACCACCTTTCTGAAACGCGTCGGTTTTTACAAAGCTCATCGTTCTGAAAAGCGCAGTGTGTTCTGATTGGCTAGCTATCCAGTGCATTGTGATTGGCTGAATACCTCAAGCATGTGACGGAAATGTTACGCCCCTTACCATATTTGGAATATCAGCTTCCATGGCAGTGGTGGCAACAATACTACAGTGAGAATAAAAGTTATGCCTTCTTTGTATACATGCGTATACATTTGGGCGGTGTTATGAAAATCTTCCCACACAGTGACGTACATATGTGGGGGCGTGTTTGAATGAGGCGTTTTAGGAAGGCTAGACGAGTCTTAACTCTTTGGGGTTGAGAGACTTTAATCTTTGCGACTTTACATATCTTATAAATGCATGAACAGCTTGTAACACTCCAAAGATAAAGAAAAACATGACATCGCATCATGATATGACCCCTTTAAGGTTTAATGGTTTAGGACAGTGTTACTCACTCGGACGCAAGTGTTGCGATGCGACACGACAAAAGACAATAGAACACATCATAATGAGTGATGTTGTCTACACTGGATGCGGTGCGATGCGACATGATCCCCGTCATTAAACTGATGCCTCGTTCTATTTATGATGTACTGACACAACGTTCAAATGATTTGCAACGGTCACGCGTCCAGTGTAGACAGACTTTAGATGTTCCAGTGTAGGTAGACATTATAACTGGATGTAACTTTTCATACTTTTCGGTAAAAGTGGCTCTCCTATTGACTTAGTGTAATTAAATGGGTTTCTGAGTACAGAAATCGACCGACCTGTTGTTTGAGCTGATGCATTAGTCTGTCCTTCTCTCTTTTCAGGGCCAACACTTCCTCTTGTGTCTTCTTCTTATTGGAAGAGGACAGCTCCAGCAAAGCGATGTTAGCATCCTTCTCACTGATAGCAGCGAGCAGAGCCTGTTGTCTGAGGGGAACAGACCGTTTGAGATACTGTATGCATGCATGATATACACTGAGCAGCTTTCAACAAAACTAAAAACATCCTAGGCATCAAATATTTATGAAGAAACAGAGTCTGACTGCAAGGATTCTTACTTCATTTCCAAGATCTCCTCGAGCTGTTTTCTGCGCTCCTGTCGGAGGTTGGTCAGATGGCCGTCTCTCTCAGTCAGAGACTGTTGGGTGGAGGACAGACGCTGCTTAGTGGCTTCCAACTCCTGCCTCGTCTTCTCCAAAACATTCAACAACTCCTCCATCTGTGAAATAAAGAAAAACGTGTGCAAGAAAATAAAGAGAAACTCTTTTGTTTTTCTTGTTTTCTCTTGGTTTAAGACAAAATTTAAAGCCATAAAATAAAAACAACACACCTTTGGGTTGTCCATTGGATTATCCTTCCGTTGGTCTTGCAAGATATTCCCAGGGCCTTTCTTGTCCATCTGAGGACCAAGCTTGATGCCTGGGCCCTTTTTATTTTGATCCTTGGTTTGCCTTAGAACACATACAGAGTGTCACCTGAATTGCTGAATTTGGTATCAATCACAAAACTCTATTTAACCAAACATGATCAAAATTAGTATAGTACATTTTTTGTCGTTGTCCAGTACAAATATCTTTCTTAAATTAATGGCCGATTTGAGGGGAATTTCGCAGGCTGAGGTGGGAGGGGATGGAGAGGATTCATTCAGAAGAGTGAGAGGGAAGGGAGGAGAGATCGTGTTAGGAAGCAGAAAGATGACTGGTCAAGAGGTTCAGCATGTGAAATGGGTGTTCAAAGGTCAGGAAACGGGGCTCCGCTCATTGTCAGGGCCCTTGTATGCCAGCAACACCAAGCGGCAAGCACAGAGATCACAGAAGCGTGTAACGTCATATAAGCAGGGTAGAATAAAATACATCAAGATTGCTAAAAATAGCATTAGTTGACAGGTCTATGTGAAAACCACTGTATAATTGAGTGTAATTAAGAATAGTTCACCTGAAAATAACAACAATGTCGCCATTTACTCACCAAAATGTAGTTTCAAACATGTATGATTTTCTTTCTTCAATAGAAGACAAAGGACTCAATATGAGATTTTTAGTAACAATGACTTAAATATAATCTAATCCTTCAGACTTCAGAAGACTTGGAATATAATGAACAAGCAATAAGTATGAACTACTTCTATTGCATTTTAATGACTTTTTGTCATTTTTGGCTCAACTGCATTTGTCCCCATTCACTTTCTGACAGAACATTCTGCGTGTTCCAATCAAAACCAATGAAAACTATAATAATGATGATATTAGTGTCCACACCAACAGATGATAATGTTCTGTTTATAATAATCATAAGCTGCAGTTTTGTTGTCTGCCAATTTAAATGCTCAAGCTCTTTAAAGCAGAATAGATTTTGGTTGGCTGTCAGTGTTTTTATCATTCACTAACTGAACAAAAATAATTCTGAAAGTGATTCCAACTATATTGCTCCTCTGTGTCGTTTTTGATTTAGCTGTGGTGTGAACCTCATAGAATTAGAACAATTAATAAAATGTATCCTCTCTTATTTTATGAAAGAAAGAAAATCAGCCTGATGACATGGGGGAGAGTAATTAATGACAGAATTTTTATTTTTAGGTGAACTATCCCTTTAATTTTGGTGTAATTTTAGAGAATGATTTCACATCAACATGTTGCAATGCCAAAATCATGACATCAAGTGTGCAGTTATCACATGTATGACACTATGTTAAAGAAAATTGTGCTGAAACTATGGAATCATTAGATTAAATTTTCATGTTCTATTTTTATTATACAAAAATAGATAGATAGATAGATAGATAGACAGACATATTATATAGATAGACAGACAGACAGACAGACAGATAGATAGATAGATAGATGCCAATGAGAGAAATGCAGAATAGGAAGAACATGAAGATGGACAAGAATTTTTGAACAAGAAATGAGTGTTTTATGACAGAAGATGAAGGAACATGGAAGAACAGGAGGAAGAGAAGGAGGTCGGAAAAAGAGAAAGATCAACAGACAGAATAGAAAGAGTTGGCGAGACGGTAAAAAACAAAACAGAAACACACATGGTTAATCGAACCACATTAACACTAAAGCATGAGTATGTCAACTGAGAATAAGTAACAAGACTTTGAGCCAGAGCTGGAACCTGAGATACTGAACTTACTATCCAATGCTCAAAACTATTATAAGGGCTGTTCACACTGACAGGAATTACTGTTGAATGGGAACAAAAAGTGTGTATATAAACTGCAAACTGCAGCATTTTATATTACATCATAGGCCCTGTTTTCACTTGGTATTAAGATGCGTTTTGTTCGATCGTATCACAAGTGGACAACGCTAAATACAGGTGTAAACGGGGTGTGAAACGTTTTGAGCTTGTCCACTTTCGACCACTTCCAGAGGTAGTCGAAAACGCATTCGACCGGATTGCTTTCGTGGTGTAGACGCTGATGTGGTCGAATGCGTTCGAACAGCCTACTCTCCACCTACTGACCTGTAATCATTGCGAGACACAAGGACGCGTGCTTACCAGACGGGATTTAAACTTTGACAGGCCGGATTAGAAGTATTATTCTGATAACAAGAAAAAGAAACAACAGCAGTAAGTACAAGCAGACGTAATATTAGTGCACGATAACTTTAGCCCTCCCGCTCGTGTTTTGACGCCGACAGAGGGATTCGCCCATTTACCCTCCTCTTGACGTAATCAGCACCACGGGGGTAATCTGGTCAGAAATAGTCGAAAGTGGACAGAAGAGACAGATTAAAATGCCAGGTGTAAACGGGTATGTGTCTCCATTGTCCACTTGTGATCAGATTGACCAAAAAGCATCTTATTACCAAGTGTAAACAGGGCCATAAATGCATAAATCAAACTCACTTGGAATGCTGAGAAATTCTAGTATGGCTAGTCAATGTTTTCCTTTGGTGTAATTTTAGAGAATGATTTCACATCAACATGTTGCAATGCCAAAATCATGACATCAAGTGTGCAGTTATCACATGTATGACACTATGTTAAAGAAAATTGTGCTGAAACTATGGAATCATTAGATTAAATTTTCATGTTCTATTTTTATTATACAAAAAATAAATAATAATAAATAATAAATACAAAAAAATTATAGAACAGATATAATCAAAAAAGGAAAACGTGCACTCTGGTTGATGTACACATTAGCCCAGTTCCATAGCCTAGTGAGCTTCCTACCTATAGGCAACATAGTTTATGCACTATAGGCACACTCCCAAAAGGAAGTAGGTAGACAGCAACATATAAAATATGCAGTTTTGGCCAAAATCTAAGGTAGCATTAAATGTATCCTTTACCTATACAGTATTACCATTCAAAATTTTGGAGTTCTGTAAGTGTAAACAGTAGAAAATACTTTTACAAATGCACTCAGTCAAGATTTCTGTTGAGTAGTTAGCAACAGCATCAGACTCTCTTTCAGATCTCTTGAGCACTGTTTGTGTGACTGTATTGCTGCTGCCCGCTAAAAAATGTTTAAATCATTTTTAATCAGCCACTTATGAGGCTCCATCTTGGTTAGGATGTTGCCTATGTAGACATTAGACTTCGAGGCAGCTCACTAGGGTTTGGAAGAGAGCCCAACACATGCGCAAGAAACAGCATACACAACCACAAAACACATTATACACACAATATTATTTTCTGGGCTTTCTCAGTCCACAGATTTTTACATCAATGCAATCTGGCACGTATTTACCACATTATAAAGAACAAAAGGATTCTTTCCTTTGTAAGAAAAACCAGTGAATGAGAGACAGCCGTGCAACAGAGGCATCAAGGCATCAAGCACACAGCAGTTGCAGACAGATAAATTTTGAGTATTTTTAATGCTGTTAAACTGGGAAAAATCATTGCCTGCATTAATGCGCTAATTTTGACAGCACTATATATATTTATTTATATGCAAATTGCAGTCAATGATTTATGGTCATTTTGCTGTTAGTGTGAATGCCCATTTTACAGCACTAGCATGGACTTGATATCTTAGATGAATTACTCAGCAAATAAACAAGAATTTAGAAGAAGAGAAAAGAGATGTGGAGGCATTTGTACATGAACATGCCAAAACAAACACAAATCTGTCGGGAGTAGCAATCATCACAGCGCATGAAGAGAGAGGCAATACATAACCACTAAACACGAGCTCCATATCAATATTCAGAACATGTCAGAAACACAGAATACTGATGACCTCATGAATGCATGATTCCAGGAAACAGCATAAATATTTGCAATCATCATCATATTTCACCTCTAGGAGATGCATTATTGACGGCAGCTCTGAGAGTACAGCATGGTTTCTACTGCATCAGTAACAAAACGGCTCTTGACATCAGCATTTTGATGTTATAGCCCAGCAGAATTTGATATTAAGTACAGTAGAAACTGTCAACCAATGCTGTCAAAGCTCAAGATAACGGCAAAACAAGGCCTCTGTCCTGATGCTGCTTTATGAAACTCGTGCAGGCAACAAAAATATTGTCAAATCTTTATAAAATTCATTTGAATTCCAATATTTACACTACATTACTAATGTTTGGACATGTTTATTCATTGTTTACTAATACTACTGTTAACATCTTAGAAATACATATTAAAAACACAAATGCAAGCATGTGAGTTATACAATGTCAATTTTTTAAAGGGGTCATATGATGCGATTTCAATTTTTCCTTTCTCTTTGGAGTGTTACAAGCTCTTGGTGCATAAAGAAGATCTGTAAAGTTGCAAAGACTAAAGTCTCAAATCCAAAGAGATATTCTTCATAAAACACATTTTTTCTGAAATTAATCGTGATTAATCACAATTAATCCCACCTAACATTAAAGTTTTTAAAATACACTTTTATATTGCAATAATTTCACATTCAATTTTCAAATGAATGTAGAAATAACAAAGATAGTATATTTTTAATGGCATTTTTTTTTATGACTGAAGGCGAGTATCACTGATACCAATACTACTGATGTGTCTGGGAAATTGTTCTTTTTTCCCCTAATATTTAACCATAGACTATAGCCAATCAACATTACAGTATAATTGAAAGCTATCAATTTTAACATTTATTAGACTTTAAAAAAATAACAACTTCTAGTTAAAGTGAACTTAAAACAATCTTCACATAAACCCATTATGATAAATGTCATATTCACCTGTGCCCTTTAGCAAGGAGAAAAATATACAGAAATTGAATATAAAGTTATCAACACTAAATTATAAATGAAAAAAGATGAATCCTTAAAGCTGCAAAAGTTACTGATTTCCTCTTTTTTCTTTTTTTTCTTTGATTAACAGACATTACAGCAGCTGGGTTATTAGGATATTTGGCTGCTATTACTTTAAGAGCTGCCACTACTGAACGTTATGCGGATCTGACATTCATTTGTGCTTTAATATGAAATGATACAAGCTACAGAGCGCGCCGCCATATTTGTGTGTGCGATTGAATAGCACACGCTACGAGCAGATTTGTTTCTGCTGACATATGGCCTGACAACATCTCATCTGATCACAGTTCACTGAGCTCCTCATCACCTATACCAGGGGTAGGCAAGTTCGGTCCTAGAGAGCCGCAGTCCTGCAGAGTTCAGCTCCAACCCTGAAAAAAAAACTCACCTGCCTATAGCCCTAGTAATCCTGAAGACATTGATTAGCTTGTTCAGGTGTGTTTGATTACAGTATGTGGAAAATAATGTTTTTTTTTTTACTTTAAACCGCATAAACACATTTCATTACACCAAATACACAAAATAATGTTCTTTTTAGCAGCATCATATGACCCCTTTAAAAACAAATATTGTATATTTTATACCTTAACTATCTTTTATGTCTATATTCCAGCTCTGCACAACATAATTAAAGACACTTGTTGGCAGCTTCACTATCCTTGACTGTCTAGCCAATAAATTAAATTAAATTTAAATAAATAAATGAAGACGTGTTATTGAAGTTATTGAAGACACTTGTTGGCAACTTTTCCTTCATTATCTTATGGAAGCCATTTCTTCCTTGGGATAAAAAAATCAAAAAGTTAATGACAAAAAGGTTGTGACTTTTTATCTCACAATCTGACTTTTATTCTTGTAATTCTAAGAAAACTTCTAGATATACACTCATAAGTATTACTTTTTTCTCTCAGAATTACGAGGAAAATATCAGAATTGTGAGATATAAACACAGAATTACAAGAAAAATTGCAAGAAAGGTTGCAATTACCTTTTATAATTATTATTTTATCCTGTGGTGGAAACACTATCACACTATATGGCCAAAATCATTCTTTAAAAAAAAAAAAAAACCTTTTTTAAAATAAAATTTTAGTTTTGTAAAGAAATGCTTGCATGTTACACTATCTGGCCAAACTCATTGAAAAATATGTAAAACTGTGCATTTATTGTATTATATGCACATATGTATGCTTTATAAAAGGAAAAAAAATGTTTTTGTAATACATACAGTACTATTAATACTAATCTACAAAACTAATTTCAAGTATTTAAGTATAAGGATTTGGATGAAAGGGTTTTTAAGATCATACGAACACAATCTGCACAAGAATGCAAAAATGAATTCAGTCAAGTGTGTCCAGATGTGGTAGTGTATATGGGACTTCACACTTTCAAAAGCATTTAAAAAGTAAACAAGTGGCTTTTTCTCACCTTTCCAGTTCTGCGATCTTCTTATCCTTGTCATTTTTCTCTGTCTCCACCTCTCTCAGAATCTCCAGTAACCTCTCGACCTCGGCCTGGGCTTTGCTGGACTCCTCTTTGTAGAAGGACACCTCCTTTTCTAGAAGCTTGACCCGGTCCACATACTCAGGGTTCCCACGTGAGCTTTGCTGCACCTCCATATCATGAGCCTTCTGTATGATGATCATGGGAAGGCATCACCACAGAAACCAGTTAAAACACACAGTCTCAGTCAATCAAAAATTCCTGAAGAAGCATTCCCAGTTCGGAATGCCACTCCAGTGCATACACCAGTACGCAGACTAGAGGGCTCCACAAAGCAGATAATTAGCCAAACTTTAAATATACGATTAAATGCACTTATTTGTCTTGCTGCAGTTGAAACAGAATACAAGAGATCACGTTATACTATACAAACAGAGGAAGTTGCAGTTATGCATCATTTTCTTTGCAATATTGAAATGCAGCCTTGCTTAATTATTAAAACACAGCGGGCATTCTGAAACACAGTTTACATTGGCATGTTGAAAATGAATGCACAATGGATCACACACAATGCAAAATTGAAGAAAGCGACAACATAAATAATCCAAGATAATGTGGTCATACAACCAAAGGTTGCAACAGATCAAAGCTGACACCAGATTCACATGACATGAGAGGAAACACACACAACAGAGGAACATGCAACGCAACATGCAAATGTGGATTTTAGCTCCATGGTTCAGTGGTAAGATTCTTTGCAATGCGTTTGCCTTCAGACATATGCGTGTTCAAGTACCTGGGTATTAATTTCAAAAACAGATTAGTAAACATTGGAAGCATGAGGAAACAGTACAGTTTTTCCACATTTCACAGAATGCCCTTGAATCCCAATTAATTCTGTTTTAATCCTGTTGGTTGGTTATATGATAAAAACAATAAACGTATTAAACAGGATGCACATGCAAGATTCTGAAAAGATCTGTATTGCACCCAAACTAAGGAAGAATATTTTAGAAAAAATAAAATAAAATAATTTACACATACATTTAATTTTTGTATAGCACAATTCACTATATATTATTTAGATTTCCTCTAAATAACCTACAACTGCTGCATCCTGCAGACCTCTACTTATACAACAACAACAAAAACCTCCAAAAATAGCTAGACTTCAATCTATTTTTACTTGACATTTTCCATAATAATTCAAAGCTGTACCTAAAATACATATTGTGTTGTTCCTGAACTGTAAAGTTCATCAGACCATAAATTAGATCCCCTTCTTTCTAAAGCAGCAGGGTTGAATTCTTATAAGTTAAAGTAGAAAGAAACTAAGAGTATAGTGTCCTCATGTTTTCAATATGTGCTAGTACATATCCAGAGAGACACTTACGGGATTGTTCATTTGACTGAACAGCTGCTCTGCTTGCTACATTGCAAAGGAGGGAATCATGGGAAATGAGGAGGAGGAGGAGGATGAAGGGACTCAGTAAAACTGCACAAGCTTTATCATTAGCTCTTCTTTCAGGATAATGATAATGTTCTACACAGGAGAATATAAATAACTAGAGAGCAACATAAGAACAAAAAGAAGCCGATTGAGTGAATCGCCTACCAAAACAGCATTTCTGATCAACACAGAATTCAAACATTTTAACTGAACTATGCACCTCTGATACCCAAAAATGCCATTTAGGTAGGCGGTTCACTAGGCTTTGAGACATAGCTACTGTCAAATAAGAGAAATTAGACAAAGACAGGAACTCATCACTACTTTCATAAAGTTCCCATGATGCCCTCTAAAATGAGTGACCATTAAGCTAACGCCGAAAACACATTCAATGACACAACTGGCTAAATCATTGAAAGTAATTTCAGTGGTACCAATTACAGGTTGATTGATATCAGTTTTAAAAACGCAGATATTCTTAGAGCAAGGTGGCCGATGGCTTATATACAGCCAGAATATATACAGTGAGACCGCAGAGAAAACCTGGGATTCATTCAAAATGAACAGAAATAGAAAAAAGATTTTGCACTGTCACCAATCAAATCAGCAAAGTTGTGACACTGAGTATATGAACTCCTTTGTACAAAAAGTTTTGGTCTATTAAAAAATATTTTAAAAACTTTACGAAAAAGATTGTTATGCTTACAATTACATACTGTACACTACCGTTCAAAAGTCTGGGGTCTGTCAATTTTTTTATATTGTGATATTGTGTAATGTAATATTGTGAAATAATTTTATTTTAATTTCTATTTTAATATATATTTTAAAATGTAATTTATTTCTGTAATGCAAAGCTGAATTTTCAGTATTCAGTTCACCTGAACTCACGGCTAATTGAGCATGCTAAAACAACTTCCACTTCCCTAACACTCAAGGTTTATCAATAAATGTCTGTAAATGTCTTCATTCTTCACAGATTAGCGGGTAAATTCACTAAAACTTGCCGTAAAAATGCTGTACAATCCGACTAAAGTATTCCAGATCATGGTAGTCTCTGAGCATCTGGCCTGAATGCTGAGAAATGTGCTGTATTTAATTATGTTTTTTGGCCATGTTTTCTTTGTTACCTGATTTGTATAATTACTTTAGAGAATCAGGTGCTAAAACAACACAGTATGCGCAAATAAACAATGCTATCAGCAGACACAATTTATTTCCTAAGTTTAAAATACTGTGAATGTGTCATGCACAGTCTGTTGTCGAAGGCAATTTGTTGAACTTTGAACTTTATTTTATATTCTCCAAACACCTAAATCAGCATATATGAGGCAGCTCTGATTTGATTTGCTTCTGCTCTACATTTTCATTTCCTCTTGTGATGTTTGGGACCATTTCTGGTACCTTCTCAGACAGGGCTTCCTCTAGCGTGGCGAGGGCAGTATCAGTGTTGCTGGAGTCCGTCTGGAGAGACTTCACTCTGTCCTTTAGATTCCCGAGCTGTTTATCTTTATCCCTCAGCTGCTCCTGAAGATTCTCAATCTGGGAGAGAGGAAGAGGATAAATCGAGTGTGGATTTAGCAATCAAACTTTTTTTATTGCAAAACATGTTTTGTTCAACATGATAATCTTCACAAATGAACATAACTGTTATGAATTTTGAAGCCTAAATACAATTGCCCGAAGTAAAATGTTAGGCTATAAATGAATTATACCACGTTTGCATAACTTCAATGTCACCACTACTAAGATTCCGTCAACTGTTTAAATATTTAAAGGGGTCATATGATGTTGCTAAAAAGAACATTATTTTGTGTATTTGGTGTAATGAAATGTAATGCCGCTTAAACATAAAACCATGTCTGCATTTGTGATCAGAGAAATGACAAACAACAAGCACTACTCTGATGATTCAAACGCGAGTTTTGAACAGTGTAGTGGCAAATCCTTTAAATATAAAAAACGTACTTACAGTCTGTGAGTCAGAACACCAAGAGCTTGTAACACTCCAAAGAGAAAGGAAAAATTGAAATCGCATCATATGACCCCTTTAAAATATTGTTAGAAAGTTTAAGTTAGAATAGTTTGTAAGCACAAGTATAAAAAAATGAGGCTGTAAAAAGTGGACTAGTGAGCAATTGCCATTTAAAGCATAAAAAGCTTTAAAAAAAATCATAAGTAGGGTATTACTGATGTATTTTATGTTGTTGAATGAAATATGAAAATCTTGCTTGTTTTAACCACAGGTCTTATTTCAGGCATTTAATCAAAAAGCTGTTCAAAAAACCTTTGACTTTGGAACAGTGGAACTCATTTCTGGATTTTAGGACTCATTCCTGCATCACTGTATTAGCGAAACGTTCATTCAAACAATCAAGAACTGCACTTCACCTTGGTACCACTAGGGGTGCTAAAATTACATACTTCATCTTTAAAAATCATATGGAAAGGGAGTTTAAAGGGATAGTTCACCCAAAAATTAAAATTACCCCACCCTCAAGCCATCGTATAGGCGTAGCTAGAGATTACAGTTTACAAAGTTTAAAATATGGATATTTTTTTAAACAAAAATGCACCAATTCGCTTCAGGAGGCCTTTATTAATCCCCGGAGCCGTGCAGCAGTTTTTATGATGGATGGACTTCTATTATTGGACATCTATTGAACTATTGAATATCAACACCCATTCACTGCCATTATAAAGCTTGGAAGAGCCAGGACATTTTTCAATAAAACTTTGATTGTATTCGTCTGAAAGAAAAAAGTCATATACACCTAGGATGACTTGAGAGTGAGTAAATCATGGGGTAATTTTCATTTTTAGGTGAACTATCCCTTTAAATTTGACTTAAGGTTATGCTATGTTGATTGCTGTAAGTAAAAAGTTCTCAAATGCTTTTTAATATGAAAGGATTAGTTGTAAAAGCACTATGAGCTAATAAAGTTACAAATATACCCACAAACTGTAGGTGCACTGGTCACAAAAACATCATTTTAGTCTGTAAAAGGGTGAACAAACATTGTCAAAATAACAAGGACAAACATCAAATAACAACAAATGACACTGACAATGAGAAACATTAATAAGTCAGTGTTTACTGACATGAATGATATATACTGCATTTAGAGGCCATCTTACAAACAAACTGTATGTACTCAAGGCGATCTTACCAAGATGGATAACCTAGTGTAACGGACACAGTACCTGGACATCGGAGTAAGTTATATGGTCTTTCGGTTCATCTTTCACCTTGTTTTCCATTTGAACGGGTTTGTGTTGAAGAAAGCCTAAGGATGTTTCAGCCCACAATGTCTACTGCTGACTATGAACAATTGTGGTTGGTCTCTAATGGTACGGGCGGCATCTCATGGGAATATTTATGCCTGATGATGTTCTGTATGGCCAGATAATGGGCTAGATTTCACTTCCTTCATCCCCCCAGTTTTCTGTTTGATGAATGGTGCAATATCCCGTTACCCACAGTTATGAAGCTGTATGAAGGGGTTTCAAGAACAAATCAAGCTGTTTTGAAGGCAAAAGGAACTACTTGGTTGTTTCTTTGTGTAAATATTTAAGACATACAGCAGGATGTCTGCAATGTGACTTAGAATATAAGATATAAGGGATCAAACCAGCACAAAGAGCCAGAGATCAGAAGTTAAATACAGTTTGAAGCAGACTGTGGCCTTTTTTGACTCTTGAGATGTTTCCAATGTCTGAACAACATGAAAAAGGCTGAAGAACCCAGCAAAGCATGTGGTGATATGGTAAGAAGAGAGCAAATATGAAAAAGCAGTTGGAAGAAGATATGGGGAGAAAGACACTAATGCTCTGTGGCTCTGTTACATGGAGTTACAATGCATTTTACTAGGACTGCTTTGTCTGTGAAGAATACATGTGATTCTGCTTCAATTATTTTTGTCAAAATTCAGCTCACTAGGTTTTAAAAACAGAGCTTTCTCTATATTATATTATATTTATATTTTCTAAAATATCTCACCAAAAACACTATATAGGTGTGCAATAAGTTAAATCTGTTACAGATACAGGCTTTCAAATCCCCTTGCTCTGGCTCAAATCCCACTCTTCTTGCTACTGCTCATCAGTATTGACCCCAATCATTTCTAAATGGCCCATGAAAACTGGCCTCTGACCTTTGATTCCCAAGTGAGATTTACCTTCTTCTGCAGGACGTTTATCTTGCGTTCTTTGACTTCCAGCATGTCTTTCATGTCTCTGATCTCCCCGGCCAGTGTTCCCTTCTCCTCTGTCAAGTCTTGCAGTTGCTTTGTCTTTTTATTAAGGAAAGATTCCTTCTCCTCCAGACGCAATCTAAGAGCGTCCACCTAAACAACACACCATGAGCAAAGAGTTCATGTAAAGCTGGTGAAATGTGTCTTCAAGTGCTTATTAAAATAATAATAATAATAATAATAATAATCAAATCCCCTAAAAATAAAATAATTTACAATAACACACAGAATTGTAAGGGACAAGGAGTTGTACCAAGGTAAATGTTAAAACTTAATAAAAATAAAAATAAAGAAAAAAATCAAATAAAATCATTTTAACCTCTGTTTGTAGGATGGCAGCGCGTTGCTCTTTGGCAGTGAGGGACTCTTTGAGCACTTCAATATGCTGTTTGCAGTCTGAATTCTGATTATTTAGAGTTTCCAGTTTTGTTTGCAGAGCTAAAAGCTCAGACTCTTTTTTTGAGAGCTCCTGCTTGAGCTGGTCAATCTGAAAGAGATTGAAAAAGCAGGAACAGAGAAAGAAAATCTTCTGTTATTTATAGAGAAATCATTTAGTACATATGAGTATCTAGACAAATGATATTTTTAACGAATCGTGTCATAAAATGTGTTAATCAGCTATGTTTTTTTAATAGGGGAGCTGAAATGAGTATGGGAGTTTTCTTCTCTACATCTGTACTCTCCTCACATAAAAGATGGATTTCAGAACGCAATCCCCATTTAATATACATCAGCCATATCAATTATTGATGAAATGAGTTCTATAAATATCACAACAAAACCCCCAGCTTATTCACGAGCATGTTAGATACAGCAAAGACATCACACACGTGCACAAAAATCCACTAACCAATGAGATTACTCATTGGACTTTTCAGTTCTGTTTCAAAAATACAAATGCATGTTTTTTTGACTAAAACTACCCACAACCTCTTATGCAATGTATTATTTCGAAATGATTCTAGACACAGTGCCCAACGCAATGCGTGGTAGATTTACTGGGAACTGTGATTCAGCCAAAGTTTGTGAGGGAAGAATTTCTAACAAACCTACAGTAAATACACTGAAGTGTTTTGACAGGAAACACTGTCATCACAGCCGTGAGAAATATTTACACAGATCCTACAGACTCTATTTTAATACTGCTGCTTCTAGCATTACTCAGCAAACCTATCATTACAATTCCACAAGACATCCGCAAGGATGTTCTCTGCCGCTTCCCTGACACTGGAAACCCTTTACTGCACTTAAACATTTGTGAAAAGACATTTATTTATTTGAAAGAAGCTCAACATAATATTTAATCTAAGTATGGACTGATAGCGAAATTTTGAATATCACTGATATTATAGCAGATTTTTTAAATCTTTACTGTTAAAGTAAATATGAAACAGCTTTCACAACCCATTTTTTTTTCATTAACAAGAAACATTATACGTGCACAAAAATCCACTAACCAATGAGATTTTTCTGTCAAGAAACAAGCCAGTTAAAAACAGTTGATTGGGCAGTGCAAATTAAACAAACCAATCAGAGCTCTGGATCAAAATATCATTAAATATCAGTTAAAAAGAATAAAGTCAGAATCCCAATATGCATCCGTCATATTTTCAATTCAAGTGTAAAATTAGTACATACCCAAACCTTTGTACATTGTTTGTTAAAGTGGCCTGGATGGATGGCAGTGTTATTTTAGTATTTTTTTTATATACAAGTATAGCATTTATTGATATGAATAATTCATTATAATTAATAAATATAACTAATTTACTAAACTAATAACTAAGTGAAAAAGATATTCAAAATGAAAAAAAAAAAACTAGGGTGGAACTTTTATCCATCAAGAATTGATTGGATTGTGCAAAGTGGCAATTGCAGTGGAGGGGTTAAAAAACATGAACAAGACAGTTGTTTCAGTGACAAAGCAAGTTTTTACATTTTAAAGCAAGATTACAAAGACAAACTTTTTAAAATTTGGAATAAGAAAAAAAATCAAAACAAAATTAGGAATATTTATTAAGAAAGTAAGTAGGGTCAATATTGATTTCATGTTTACTTGAAATCTTGCTCATATAATGTAAAATTACAAGCTTCAAACCAAAATATACATCTTCAGGCTGCTAGCAATAATTAAAGGAACAGTTTACCCCCCAAAATTGCTCAAATCACCTACATTTCGGTATGCTTCTCATGCATGGCTTCCAGAAGACTGTGTGGACTTTTTTTATGATGGTTTTTGCTGTTTTAAATTTTCCGCTCAACAAATTAAATAACAGCATACAGGTTTACAACAACATGAGTGTTTCCCTTTAAAAAAACACATAGATAATAAAAAATGATGCATTTTCACTTTATCAGTTACCTAAACACACCGATTTCTTTGTGTCTAAAGCGGTTTATAGTTTAAACTCCTTGAAGAAAAAGTTTACCTTTGTCTTCATGAACTTGGAGTGGTTTTTGTAGACCTCCATCTGTTTGATCTCCTCCTCTCGATCCTCCGTGTTCAGCAATCCATTCGCCTTTAACATCTGTATCTCATCCTCCAGGTCTCGAATGTTGCGTTCCAGGGATGCGATTTTGGTGTCCTGGATAAACAATTTAGTGGAAAAATTAGCGACGCTGTGCTCCATCATCTTAAGCTAGTATGACAACTTTGGTGCGAATCTACGGACGAAAGCATGCCAAACCCAATTCCCAACAGATGGGATCAAAACAAGAGGAAGACAGGGATATGCGAAACTCTAACGTCTTGCAGCATCGCCAGTGAGTAGCTGCAGTACTGCTGCATAGCCAAAGCAGAATCTGTCTCTCTCATGCTAATGGATCAGCATGTAATCACCATTTGGTAGTAGTGAGCGCACATCCAGCCTGGGTGGAGAGAGACACTCTGGGAAAGCGAGCTGCGCGTGTGCCTCTTTGGACTGTGAGACAGAGAGTTGCAGCGTTGCAGCTCCTTCGGCTTTTTAAATAAATAATACAACGTCTTTGGCATTAGCTATGGTCCATCTCCCATTCAGACATAAGAGAACGTTTGCTGTTCCTTCTCGCATGCTCTCTCCGGTAACCCGCCCTTCCTGTCCGCTCTCTCTCTCTTGCACTTACTCTCTCATCTTTTTGTTTTCACAGACATCAATAGGCACCATTTTCACACGAGGCCTTAGAAAACCAACATCACTTTTCCCGCATATTGCGCACAGAGAGTCAATTCCTTAGGCAAAGCTTGAGGCTTATCGTCAATATTTTGAAGGCTCTACACTCTAAAACCTTCATTATTTAAATGCAATGTAACATTATACCTTGTGGCGCTACGAGAGATAATATCCATCTTCAGAACATAAGCAAACAAATCACATTGCTCTCTTTTCTGTCATCCTCTCCCACGCCTGCATTCGTGCTCTATGTGTTGTAAACAACTCCACCTGTTCCCATGGCACCAGAATCAGCATCCCTGCTCAGCCAATAGGGCAAGAGAACACTACCAGTGATGCTAAAGGTTAAAAGAGCAAAGGAAACCAGTACAGGTGGAGCGGCTTTTGCAGTTTTTGGTTCGAGGAAAATGCATCAACTGAATTAGCGAAGTTGCACTTTGAATAGGAGTCTATCACTTTGCTTTTCGTGTCACATGGATGCAGTGGTGAATTCTGGGTAATATTTAGCTCCAATCAGAGTGGACCCCAGGGGTGTGTGCGTGCCTTGCATGAGGTCATGCTTTATTTTTTAGAGTGGTGTGTAATGCTTCTGCTGGCAGGAGTTGCTCTGCCTGTGAGCGCACAAACCCACTTACTGTTTCATTCAGCCATTAAGCAGCATGCTGCAGTGGCTTTGCCATCAGACATTTCTCTTGTCTTTCTGGACCATTTCTGTTTGCCTTTTCAGCCTATTGTTTAACCAGAGCGTGCCAAATACAACTACTCTCTCTAATGACAATACTAATTATTTGTTAAACAAGTCTTTCATGCTTACCAAGGCTGCATTTATTTGGTCAAAAATACAATAAAAACAGTCATGTTGTGAAATAGTATTAAAAACAGCTATACACTTTAAAATGTAATTTATTCCTGTTGGCAAAAATCCATAAATCTAGTCTTCAGTGTCACATGATCCTTCAGAAATCATTCTAACATGCTAATCTGCTGCGCAAGAAACATTTCTTATTAGCAATATTGAAAAAAAACCTGCTTAATATTTTTGGAAACCATGATACAGTACATTAACAGCATTTACTTGAAAGAGAAATCTTTTGTAACATTATACAGTCAAACCAAAATTTATTCAGACACCTTCAACATTTCTCACATTATCGCAGTTATAGTTTAGAAAATGGTAATAAAATATGACAGGAACTGTGTCAGAACAAATTCATCTTGATAATGTCAGATAACTTTGATAGAAAGGCAGGGTGCGAACTACGGGGGAGCTAGGCTCCCCTTAATAAGACATGGGCTCCCCTGAAAATGGGATTTGTGAAATTTTGGGGGGTCTCAAAAAATATTGACAATGTGTTATTTTGACATGCAATTTCAGTTTTGTGTAATGTGATCATCGTGGATTATTATGTGTAAAATTGCAAAAAATATCATTCATTCATGCATGACGGCGATTTAAACCTAATTCACTTCAATAAAGATAACTATACATGCTATTCTTGTCATGAGCATCAAGGTGTGGGGGCGCTGCGGTGCAAATTCCACTCATGTTTAGTACATGTTAACTCAAAGATTCGTAGAAAAAATATAAACGCTGGACTCTGTGGTCGATTCTGCGTTAAGGTAAGGCATGTTATT